GCTGGAGGTCGGGAGGAAGAGCAGTTGCCCTTCAATGTGAAAATCATTGGATGCTCCCTGACCCTTATCTGAACCCCACACTGCATGCAATTGTGATTTATCACTGGGAAAAAAGCATCTGCTACCACTTTCCTAAAAAGGTTGATTTTTGCTGCCACCGAGCCAAGGATCTAACTTGTCTAATATTTTAAGCAAACAACCAACATGTACAAGCTAAGCTAATAATTTTCCTCTGTTATATTTGACATCTGTTGATTTTGAATGTAGAACATCGCTTCTCTTTATTTTCACCTCATGGCGATCCTAGGTCAGAACAGACTGGTACAGAAATATTCATAATTTAATTCTGTCTGTTTTTTGTACACTTTATTTGACTGACACCATTGTGTCAGTCAAATAAACAGACATAATTAAATTAAAACAGAGTCCTTCTTTGCAACTTTTCTGAATGAGTTAGAGCATGGTAATGGATGTAAATGTGAAGAAAAACCTAGTAGGACATTCATCCAACCATCCATTTTCTACATTAATCCTCGCAGAGTAATGGCAAATAACCACACATTCACTCTTAACGTCACATAAGAGAAACAACTGGCCTAACAGTCATGTGTTTGGACCTTGGGAAGAAACTGGAGTACTCAGAGAAAACTGAAATGGGAAGAAGATTCAAGCTCCATGCAGAAAGATCCCAGGTCAGGATTTAAACGTAGGGCCTTCTTGCTTGGAGAGTTATAATTGAAGTTAGTTGGACACCTAATAAAATTAAGGCTGCACCGCCTTCAAGGTGCAGCTGCCAAAATGTTTTAAAATAATTTATGATGGATTGCTATCCTACAACAAAAACCTAGTCAAATTGAGCGGGATTTATAGATGTTAAAGAGCTACAGTATTAATGTGGAAAATGCTAAACTAAATGGATCAGCAAGTGGTCTGTTTATAACATAATCATGTCATAGACTATCTCAGTTGGACATTTATGTTAGGATTTGCAGAACAGATTAGTCTGACATGCTTGCATGGCTCCAAGTGATTTTTCTGAATGCAAAGTACTTTCCACATGTATTTGGATGCATTTGGACATTGAACACAAATTCATTCTTACCTGGAGGCCCTGGCGAACCTGGAGGTCCTGGTAAAAATACAGGTGATGTCATAATTTTCTCATTCATCATCTGCACAGGGACGTCAGCACTATTCGACAGCAAGGCCATCTTAGAAAAGAGGTGGTTAAAGAATAATAAAAATAAATGGTGGTAAGAATTGATTAGGGAGTATATGATACCTTGATGGGGTATTTGTTTCTTATATTAAGTGCATTTTGTCCTTAATTGTTTCATATTAAAGGTCTGTGCCCTCATAAATTACACACTGTAGACCTAACATCATGTAAAACTTTTGCTACAATTATAAACCCTGCCTAAAGATGAAAGTCGATCTTGTAGCTGCACCACATTAACAAACCATGACCAATACAGATGGAGGCAAAGCAACACATCTGCATTATGCAGCATGACCGGGACAGTCCCCGCTCTGTATTGTAAGCAGCATCCTTGGAAATGGTCGTCTTTGATCTGTGTAACATCTTGTAGACTTGGCAGTCCCAGTTGGGTAATAAGTAGAACATCTTGATATGCTGTAAGAGTTTATTTTAGGATTCAGAACTGCTGCTAAATTTTGAAGTTTGCTGTGAGTTTGCATTCAAATACAAACAGAAACAAAATTACAGACGTATCTTTATAGGGATATCTTTTTGAATTCACTTTATAGCATATCCCCTTCACTAGAAAGCATACTTAATCTAACCCTGCACCACACCTTTGCTTTAACTGGAACTCTGTAGAAAATTGTGTCACTACTGTGCATTCTGCTTTGGTAATTGCCGGCGACTCTAAATAAAATGACTGAAGTTCATTTTGATTAACATGGGTTACAGCTACAAACACAAAATCAGTTTCTCAGAAATATAAATTAAATCAATCTTGCATAAAGAAGCTGGCTGTTCACAAAGTCTTGATGTAAACATACTCATGGAGAGTTGAGTGGAAGGAAAAAGGATGGTGAAAAAAAAGACACAAGCTAAATCACTGAAATTAAAAACGTTTGGACTTTATTTTAACATATAGAAATAAACTTGCATTTGTTGCTCCCCACAAGGATACACACACAAAATGGGTGAAGTTGCGGCTTACTCGTTGAAATCAGATGACTTTGAAAGATGTGAGCGGACAAACTGATGTTTTAAAATGTGTATTCTAATGTCCCTGTAATTATTACCATATAATAATACCCTTCAGCTTTATGTTGTAAACTTACATAGTAATCAGCAAAGACAACATTTTTCATGATGTTTTCTTAATATATGCTGAACCGTATATACGCAGCACGGAAAGACCACACAGCTGGAAGCAATACATCACATGTTATAGTACTGAGTGTTGAACGCTGCTACTGACAGACACATCCTTAGAAAAGTTCAGACGTCTGTAGTATCACAGATGGACATGTTAACGCTACAGCTGACTTTTGTATCAACTTACACCCAACTCGTGTAGGAGCAATGCATCAGCCTGCTATTCGCCAAGGATTTTTTTAAAAGTGTTTTCTTTTTATTAGGTTATAAACTGCATTGATGGACCTCATGAGAGTTGTTAATATGTACCTGCAGTAATTTCTGCAATACTGTTGGGAGTATGCTACAGCTAAATCAAAATCCTTAACAGGTTTTTTTTTTTCTTCTGAGCTTTTTTGGCCACTAACTCTAAAGTGTATTGCAAAACATTTGCTGACGTAGTGGATGAAGAAAAAAAATAGACTTACATTTTTACTTTTGCCAGACAAATGTTTTTGTTCTCTTGTCCCATACCTTCTGCTTAAGCTGCAGCACAGCCATCTTGATCTGGAGGAAGTCTTCACATGTGGCAGAGCAAGTTCCAGCATTCATTAAATTATCACATTTCTCAAAGAGATGAACTGCTGGGAAATTGGAAAAAAAATAAAATAAAATACTTGAGTTACTTGGACATGGAAACACGGACATGGAAAAATCATATAATGTATAAAAAAACGTATAACAAAAAAACATTTCATAAAAATGTAGCCAGATGAGTTCACTCAAGAAGTTAAAAAATATCTAGAAACATCTGAATAAAGATGAAAAATTGCAGTCTTAAACTCTTACCCCCAGTTTTTTCACTGCTGCCACCTTCCTGAAACTCCAACCCCAACTGTAGCTACTCTACACTAAATCAAAATAAAAACTTCGACAGAAGAATGTTCACATATTAAAATTAACATTTCCATTTTGCGCAAGACAAGCATAGGCTGTTGCTTTCCGGGGTGCTTAAACATTGTTCATCTTAACTAACTGAGTTTGTCTGTACAACGGATGAGTGCCAATGTCTGAATGTGATTTCGCTCCCCTAAATTACGAAGCAGCAGGACACGAAGCGCGGTCATAATTTCACGCACCACATTTTTGCACTGCTTAGCATGTTCTGAAATGTTATAGTAGGTAATGGAAGACACTCTCCTGGGAGGAAGTAGCAAATCTGCAGGCCTTCACTGCTTCATTGGCAAGAAAATCTGGGGCAGAAAAGATGTTTTTATCGCCTGGACGTTTTGTGTTTCCTTCACATGTATCCAGCAAAATGAGAAGACCAGGAGTCAAAGAGCCAGCTGCGTGTTTGGGTGGCTGAACTGTTTTGACATGCACAAGAGGCAGTGACGTCTAATGACTACCAGGTGTCTATGTTTGTAGTGCCCCCTCCCAGCTCTTTCTCCATCGCCCTCCAAAAACACTGTGAAGTCTTCTCCACATTGCTGTTTGATGTGAATAATGAGAAGATGTGTACGCTCACCTCTCTCCCCTTTGGTGCAAGTCTTCCCATCGTCTTCTAGGAAATAGCCTTTCTCACACTCACACCTAAAGCTTCCCGCGGTGTTGATGCAGATCTGAGAGCAGGCGCTCATGTTTTTGTCAGCACATTCATCAATGTCTGTGTGTTGAAGTGTAAGAATGGAGTTAGCCAGCAAATGAAAAGAAAATGTTGACTAAAATACGTCCACTCAACGTGCTTGCATTCAGCAAAACAAAATGCTATGAAAATACGTTACTTTAACTTTGCAACTTAGATTTTTTTTTAAGTATTGAAATTTAGGGAAGAGTGTTTGAATAGAGTAGGAATTTCTGAACTTTAAGGCATATAAAAAAATCCAACTCAGGGGATTTCAAAGCATTTGAAACAGTAACATATTTCCCGATTTGTAATGTTTTTCATGCAAAACTAAGCAAATATTGGACAGATAACACCAAATAAATTTATTAACACTCAGTTGATGTTTAATATTAGGCAACTTCATATTTTGTTACAGTGAAGCAATGTTTTTAAAGACATTCTTTATTCTTGAGATAAGAAAACAAATCCTTACAATCACAAAGTAAAAAAGTTGGATGTGATACAAAATCCTCCATAAGAAATTGGATAGCAAAAAAAAAAAAAAAAAATCAAAAGATCTAGTCATGCCTTATCGACTACTACAGTGTCACTCTCCTGCTGTTACAATTACATATTTTAAGAGCTGTTAAACCCCACATTAGGGTCAATCTCCCTGCACTGCTAAATTTGACCAGATTGTTTATCTCCAAAAATGCCTCAAGAAGGATGCATTATAAACCACAGTGCAAAGTGTTCACTCATTTAGACAATAATGAGACCTATTACAGAATCATGCACATTGATTTTAGCTCTGCATTTAACACCAAAATTCCCTAGACACTAATGGCTTCAGAACATCCTGACTAAAAGACAGGCAGTTTGTATTACAGTATCAGTGAGTGTTGAATGGTTGGTTTATTGCTGTTNATCAAACATCAACCTTTATTATTTTTGCTATGCATAGTTAGATCTTACCCAGACAGTAGGGCTTCTCCCGGTTTCTGTGGCGTTCACGGTCATAACGGTAACCCAAGTAACAAGTACACACTACGCGGCCAAAATGGTCTGTGCACTGCTGCTCACAGGGGGCGCCAGCACACACATCATAATCTAGAATGAAAGGATGATAGGATGACAAAATACAGCTTTATTACAACTTTAAAGCAAGTAACAGAAGATACTGAAAATGATCAGACACTAATAAACCCAAAAACCTAGGATATGTTTGGCAGGATCCTGAAAAGTGACATCCAAACTGTTTTTCCTACCTTCAGGAATGCACTGGCCCATTACAAACTTGAAGCCCTTGCAGCATTTCCTCCTGTAAGATATCAAATTTGCTTTACTGGAAATATTTACAAAGAGAAATATGACCAGACAGTAAAGACAAGCACTATCACACCGGAGCCTGATGGTTCCATTCAAGTTTCTGCTGGCTTTCATGTGTTTATGTTTTGTAATTTTTTAATCTCAGAGATTAAAGAAGAAATGAAACAACCTTTAGTATTTTCAGCCTAAAACTCCAGGCCCTTGGTGCTGAGATGAGACTATTAAAATATCCTTGTAAGCTTCTGCATTAAGAGCTCTGTGTTGTGAATGCCTGATCAAAGACAGAGCAAACACATGCAGAGAATTTTAAGTAAATTCTCTGCTTAAAAAAAGGGGGGGGGAGGGGATCAATTGTGTGTCAGATCTCCTTATTTGACAAGGAGCTCAGCAGGTAGTCGTGTTAAGAACAGAGCTTTTTTTTAAATCCTGTTACATGTTACAGAAATTACACATACCATACTGTGAAAACATACCGAGATTGACAGCTTGTTTAGTTTGGCACAGTGGTTGCCACCGATTAAATTTTGAGCAGGCATAACACCAACTCTAGAAATAAAACTGTCGTCAATCATGACAAATTAGCAGATCCAATTACTTGTCAGCTGATGAGCTGACATTTCCAGGTGAGTAATTATGTTTCATTTAATTGAGCAATTGTAGAATGACAATGAATAATTATTGTGGCCTAAAGGACCTTTTCCTTGAGCGAGAAGGCATGCAGTTGAAATCTGAACCTATATTGATCCTTATATATACAAAGCTGTGAGCACCAATGATGATATTCTTGAAGGTTACAACAAAGTGTAAAAGAAGATTAAGCTTGAGTTGAAAGAGTGAGCAGCTTTGAGGGTTTTAGGTCTTTATGCTCTTGTGCTCCTTTACCAGCCTGGATTGGCAATATCCTCCTGCACTTTGAGAAAGGAAGTGATTCAATCAAAATAATTAATTAGGACTTCCTTCAAATCTGCCCATATTATTGCGTATACTTATACATTTTCTTGCATTACAATGATTTATGCTTATTTATTTGTGGTTACAGCTGACTGTGTTGAGTGATAATAGTTATTTTTCCTCCATTAGGAAATCATAGCCAGGAGAGACCAAAATGAGGATTTGTTGGTGCATTTTCCAGTCACTGGGCTGTAATGTATCATTAAAATGCCCCAGTGTTGGGGGCATTTTATGTGAAATGATCAATTGTCAATCTGCTCTTAGATTAAATTTGTTTGTTGCTGAGTCGCATGATGCACTGCTTTTTAAGATATTTTGGCCTACTTTTGTTTAGGGGATTGTTCATACCTGGGTGTGGTTTGATAAATACAATGAAAAAGGTAGTTAATCATTTAATTTTTGGTTTTTGAAAAGTGGTTTGATTGGTGTGGATAGATTATGCACCTTAACCATCTGAAACTAATGTTTATATTTGCTCTCTTTGTCTTTTTTCATGATATTAGCATTTGTTTGAAACATTTTCATTGAAATGAAATGAAATGAAATTTTATTCGAACATGATACAAATATAAAAATAAAATAGTGCACAGTAACAAGAAGTGCATAAAAAAGATGAGAAAATACAGATTTTTTGTTTCAGTTAACATATCATGCTCAAAATGGGGTAGGAAGAAGTGAGAACTTATAAACTCCTACCCCCTAAACACTTGAAACTTTAGAGTCCTACTGTCATTAAAAAAATCAAAATCAAAGTGGCAGTCAGAAGTAACAGTTACTAATATTTACCTATACATTTTCCCATTTTATGCTGGTTTGTCTTTCTAAACCCTTACACCAAGTTATCTGCAATACACACCTTATTGCTTTCTGTCACCCGTATGTGTATCTATTGAAAATTACCTCTTTGTACTTTCTTTTGAATTGTGTTAAACTATTGCTTTGTTTTAAATCTTTATGTAATTTGTTCCATAACTTTACACCTTTAATTGAAATACAGAAGCTTTTTCTTGTTGTTCTAAAATTGCGGATTGGACATATCAAACATAGAAACAACATATACGGAAATTTTTTACTTTGTCGAATACTTTACTTACCATTAGTTCTTTCCATTAAATCATTTATTGCAGTATTTATCGCCATGAGTCATATCATCAGGAACTTCAATAATTTTGTTTGAACTCAGTCCAGCAGAAAAGTGCTAACAGGTGCTGCTTTAACACATCATGAAAGAATCCAATCGACCTCTGAAGTCATCACTAATCATCACTATTAAAGTGCAGTGATAGTCTTTGAATAAACTGTAAATACTAAACAGCTTTATTTAACAGCACTAATGAAAATAGCACCATTCATTAAGATTTTACAACAAGAAGACATTTAAATGTCATTAAATTACTGCGATTCTGCAGAGTAGCTGCAGGAATAAAGGTGGTGGAGCTGTTATTTAACAAATACAAGTGTCGATATGACAGTATGAGTGGAGGTTGTGTACTGCTACTTTTTAATTTCAAAAGGTGAAAATTGTCGAAGTTCACTCACACCCACACGTGCTTGCAGATGACTGCAGCATAGACAAAGTCACATAGCATCATATAAATAATTGAACAGTCACTTTAATTGAAAGACATAATGCTCCATAAGAGTAAGTAAGACAGAATATGTAATTTGTAGGGAAGATAATTAGACCAGCCAAAGTGCTGAGTGCTCCGATGCCCAGTGACATCACTGTAGCCAAAACTTTCAATAGCTTTTAAATTTCACCTTTACACCCCTGGAGTTTCATTAGCTTTTCATGTTCTGTGTTTAATGTTATTATTGCTCAGCATATAGCAGTAAGAAAGTATTATACATGTGGACCACAAGCCAGAGTTGACTTTGAATGTGTGACCCACTCTTTCTAGGTCAGCATCATCCCCCTGAGGACTGAATGCACTTTTAGCAAATAATCAACTTAGCAAAAACAAACAAGGTTAGCTTAAAAATCAAGATGAAAACAAACATCTATATCCGCTTCCAAAAGATCACAAAAGAGACAAAAGCATCCCAGGGAAATTGGATCCAAATCTGTGGGGGAAGTACATTTTTGTCGGACTTTGCGTTTATTACATTATTACTCAGATAAATAGTATCTTTGATATGTTCTTACAGCATTGTGCTGTTTCTCAATAGATCACTACAAAGACAACTTTAAATTGGCTTGATTACTTTGCAAGTTACAGAACTTTTTTAATGCAATAATAGCACTATCTTTTAATTTTATTAGGCTGGATCTTTTTATTGGCAATAACTGATTTAATTTTAAATCACTATTACCCTTTGGCTAACCTTCTGCACATATATGACACACACACATATGTCTAAATTAAACAGAAATGAGACAGTAGCAACATGACCTGTACATGATAGTAAAACAACAGCATGATTAAAACTGGTGTGAAGGTCAGTGCATCAAGCAACTAATTAAACACTAGTGCACCCTGAAAAAATATACTTTATACATTACAGAAAGACCACAAAACAAGAAACTTGTCAAGTTAGCAAAATTATGAAGCTAATTTTTTTAGCCTAAAATTATTTTAGCCTAAACCAAAAGGTCTTTAATTAGCAGAGAGTCTGTATACAATTTGATTTCAACATAGATACAGCTTCAAATGCCTCAAAGGTTTGTTAGAGGACAAAACAAATGAATAAAGACAGCACAAAGTTATGCAGAAGTTAATCAACCAATCATCCAAAAACAAAAAGAGAATGGCCCCACTGCACTGCCACTACATAAAACATTTCTATTAAAAAAATAGAAATTTGCTGTCTTCATGTCACAAAATTTAAAATATTTACCAGTATCAATATGTTTGCAGTCAATGAACTAAACATCACACCGGGGGGTTAAAATTGAGAAACATTTCATGTCAGAACCACAACAACAAAAGCAGAAAACAAAAAATACAAACAAACAAAAAAATAAAAATAAAGAAACCAAACTGTAATATCCAGAGCTTCTGAACCTTTGCAAACAATAGCTAAAAATAAAATCCTGTTTAATCATCTACTTCATGTTAATGAGCAAACAAACTCAAAACACATGTGGTTTTCATTGATATTCATAAGTTAAAGAACAAGAGGGAAAGATTTCCCAAATGCCTTCATGACACTTTTCTCCAAGAATATCAATGAGCCGCATGTTTGCAAGGTCACACATCCGCACGCTCAGGAAGGGCACGTTGTGACTGACATTTACTTTCAGACAGAAAGCCCTGCACTTGTTCAGTGTTCGGAACATCACAGAAAATCTGTTTATTTTGCCACCTGTGCCTTTTCTCACCCTAAAGGTTATTTCATTTTGCCAGTGATACGGATCACTTTACACCAGCCGCTTGAAATCTAGACATAAGCTAGTCTGACCTCAGTCGCCTGGGGTGAAGCATAAGCACTTTAATCACCTTATAAACAGAGGCTCTGCTCTGAAACAACACGATGAACCAGCCTGGCCCCAGTTTGTCTTAACCAGAACTTGATAATTCCTGCTGACACACAACTCAAAGTGGTGGAGTCCACTGAATTTATTTAAAGCAGAAATCAGATCAGGATGAAAAGGTTCAGAACCAATTTGGACAAGCATGTTCTTATTTCTAACAATTACATGTCTAAAAGATTTCACACACATAAACACAGCTGTGAGACAACACAAGCAATCCACATAGAGGCTTATTTGTGTGACCATTTATACACAAAAACATGTCTGCATTCCACACATCAGACAATGTTTTTTGTAGCTTCAAACAACTGTTTCCACCAAATCAATGTTTTTACACTGGATCTAAAAGGAAACTCTATAAAGTACTTAGGAAATTATTTTTTTCTGTAACAAATAGTGTTTTCAACTTGAATGAATTGAGTTTTATAGAGTTGGTTAAACAAAAACTCTCTATATAGAGTCCTCTTATTTTCTGATATGTATCAATCAAAATATCAACAACCAATTTTGTCACCATCACAGAATTTCAAAAGTAAAGAAAGAAATGATTTTACCTCATAAGAAAT